CCTTATAAAATGACCGGAATGACCTTGATATTAGACAAGGCTAAGTCAATTCATTTATCTTGCTTTGTTAATTATTATGAATACAGAAAATGTTGAATAGTTCATTTTATTCACTTCAATAACAATAAAAGCAAATAGCTTAAACAATTCTACAAATACAGCAAATCCATTTTTGATTCACTGTCTTAAGCTCAGAGTTACCTTAAAATTTGTTGGAATAGTGACTTTCTTCAGATTAGTTGCAAAAAATTTCAAGCAATGTTACAAGAATATCCAGCAAAATAGCATCAGAGAATGAAAGAGATGATGAAGATAAGTCAAAAGTTAGAGATGAGAGAAAGTGAATGATGAGAAGTGAGATAAAAAAGGTACTTTTATCTTGACGAAAAAAGAAAAACATATTCAGTTGTAATGAAAAGAGATTCAGTCAAAAGAATTCAAGTAAGGTCAAAAGTTATCAATACATGTAACTCATAACAATTCTGAAGGTGATAATGGGAGTATATGAACAGACCATTATAAGTTTCCTATCATACCATCCGAGAAAAATAAAACCACTATCGATAGTAAATATATGATATTGAATAGCATGATTACTTACTGATAACTGAAAAGTGAAAGTGAAAAAACCAACATCTTTTTTCATTTACTGCTGGCTGATCAATTCTGTTGATGGCCAGTCTTTTACCTTTTTTGATTAGTCGAAAAAAGAGAAAGTCAAAGTTTCATCACCTTTACACTTGAAAGGATCGACATGAAAAAGGTCAAAAAACGAAGATTGAAAATTCAGTTTACGAAAAGGTAAAATTCAAAGCTCGAGAAATCTCAGAGTTTCATTCATTGAATCGTTTTCTTTTTATCTTCAATCTCCATTCCTACTCATTCTGATTTTCCTACTAAATTCTCATTTCAACTAATCTTTTGTTTTCTATTCTTTGGAGTATTTTGTTCATATTAATTTTCATCATTTTCCCCATGAATAGGGAGATGCATCACTTACGTCAGGAGAATTTTTCTCATCGTGGCAACTATTATTTACCGTTATTTTTATCATCCAACAAAAAACTCTTTGATTAATGATTACTAAATTGAATGAACTTTTCACTGAACTCATTTTTTTATTAGCTCATTCATATCCCAAGTAATTCAATATTATCAATATTCAAAGTTTCTAATCAAGTCTTCCCGGTCAATTAATTTGGTTATGTAATTAGCTACTACAGAGTGGTAAAAAATTGCTGCTGGTGGTAAGATTAAGTTTGTTTAAGGTTAATCGTCTTAATCCTGGTTAATTAAATAGCAGTTGAGAAAAAAATTGATTCAAATTTTGAATGACAAGTTAAACAATAAAATAAATGAATCAACATGATGAAGCTAATCAATTGTTTTCCTTTTAAATGTTGGCCCAAACAATTAAAGTTGTCGTTGATTATCAATTAAAGAGTTGAACAATTTGATTAACTCCAAGGTTCATTGTGATTTAAATTGTTGTTGGTCTTTAACGGTTTATGATTAACGATAAATAGTAAGCAACGAGAAACAATTAGCAACTAATTACAATTGTTGGAAGGGTGAAAAAAAAATAGTTTCATCATTGGGAAGGAAAAATTAAATTTTTTCTCCATTGTCTTTCCAATGGATTATCATTACTATTCATTGTAATCATGGTAAGATAATGATTCAGGATGAATCCATCATTTCCCTATGAATAATTATGGGATGACAATGAATTTTTATTCTGGTTAGATAAGCTTCAATTAATATCATCATTATCATCATGATGAGGATAAAATGAGATTAAGGATAAGGAAAAGTGGATCAAGCCCAAAGTTTTTTTCATCGTTTTATCTCAATTTTTGACATATCTCTTCATGGTAATCAAATCATGATTATAATCATCATGAATCAAGGAGTGACATTGAAATCTGGTTCAGAGTAAATTTCGGTTAAAAATTAAAAACGATAATTTGATTATTTTTGGGTTCGAAATCAAGTTCCAGCTTGAATACATGTAATAGTCTATGAATAATGTTCAGCAAAGTTAAGTGATGATAATTTAAATTTTTCATTATGTAACAATTAAACTAATTGCCTATTGTTTGGTGTTACCATTTACCAGCAATTAACTGAAACAATTTATCTTCAAAATGATGTACCTTGATTATTGTTGTAAACAATTATCATTGGTTAATTGTTTCATTTTCTTTGTTGTTTCTGTTGATTTACAATCACAATTGTTAAGTGATCATCATCATCATGGTGATTATGTAATTGTAGTAATCTTTATAACGGTAAATTAAATTACACTTGTTAATTGCATTGAACAAATTTTACAAGGTTAATCAATTTAATATAGTGATAATAATAATAAACAATAATAAACTTGACTATCATTAAGGTGATAATGATAATCAACTTAGGTAAGGCAATTAGCAAATTATAATAAAGTGAAACAATTTCATCAGACTACAATTAAGTTAATCAACTTTGCATATGTTAAGTAAATGAAAAAATGATCTTATACAGGGCGTTTTTTTTATCCACTACGGCTATTACACTGAATATCTCCGGAACTAAAAGTCATATGAATGTCAGACTTGACCAGAGGACTAAACAGAATTGAAGCGCTCGACCCTACGATTTTCAAGGTCATTGAGGTCATTTAACGAAGGTAGCATTTAAAGGCCATTTTAAGGTCATCGTGTAAAAGAGCAAATCAAATCACACCTCAGATTTTATTTTGAAGTGTCTGTGATGAACGGATTACAAGATAGGTATGTTTCAATCTGAAAACACTTCAAGAGTTAAGTTTATAAGAAAAGTCTGTATCTCAGCTTCCTTTTGACGGAATATCATCAAACCTTAGGTTTGAGTGTAACTTTTTGTGCTCTTTCACACATCGACCTTAAAATGACCTTTAAATGCTACCTTCGTTAAATGACCTCAATGACCTTGAAAATCGTAGGGTCGAGCGCTTCAATTCTGTTTAGTCCTCTGGTCAAGTCTGACATTCATATGACTTTTAGTTCCGGAGATATTCAGTGTAATAGCCGTAGTGGATAAAAAAACGCCCTGTATAATTAAAATGAAATCATTACAATCAGTTAATGATTGTAATTTAATTTGATAATAATTACGACAAAATTAAAAGGTTCCCGTTGCAATCAAGGGGCAAGATTGACTGGCCAGTGAGTGGATATAATAAAAGATGACCAGTAGTCATCAACATTATCAATAAGAAGAGGGAAAAAATTATGAGAGGAGAGAGAGAAATGAGAAAATAATAAGATTATCTTTTAATTAGTTTCCATTCAATGTTAATCCATTATTTACACTGGGCTAACATGGTCATCCCGAACTGACCATCTCTCACTCTCTCCTGATAAAAATATAAGTAGATTGAGATGATCATTAGTCTTTTTGAGCTGACTCAGAATCATCATCATCACCATGAAGACCATTTCAAACTGTACATAGACCAAGATGAGATTAAGAAGTGGAAAAGTAATCATCATGAACCAAGAGTAACTATCATTTAATCAGATGAGATAAAAATCATCTTTAACTGTATTATTTAAATGATAATTAAAACAACAGTTACTTAATCATCATCATGATAATCTCATTAGTTAAATGATAATTGTCTGAGCGAAGCGAAGACTATACATCGAAAAAAAAACTCTGCGTTAAACGATAGCGATCACAATTTTAGTCCGATTTTCCCCAAATTTTCAGGATAGGACCAAATGATGGGTCTGGTCACCTGTATAGTTTTTGGTGATGATTGGCCCACCTCCGAAAATTAGTAATTTCTCTTCACGCTAGATAGCGAAAGTGTCTATCACCATGGCAACGAGGAAAATGCCGCTTCTTTTAAATTTTTGCGTTTCTCTTTCTTTTCTTTCTTTTTTTCTCAGTCTCTTTCTTTCAGTCTCTTTCTCTCTCTTTCTTTCAGTCTCTTTCTTTCAGTCTCTTTCTTTCAGTCTCTTTCTTTCAGTCTCTTTCTCTCTCTTTCTTTCAGTCTCTTTCTCTTCTTTCTCTTTCTTTCAGTCTCTTTCTCTCAGTCTCTTTCTCTCAGTCTCTTTCTCTTCTTTCTCTTTCTCTCAGTCTCTTTCTCGCACGCATTTCTCAGTCTCTCTTCTCTGAGTCATACACGCGCTCAGACGTCACTGCCGCTTGCAGTAAGCCTAGTATTAATTTACTTTCAATCTACTTGTTCATCTCAGTAAGTTGTTGGCAATTAAAGACAATAAAGAGAGAGAGAGAGAGACTTAGGAGAAAGATGAACAGATTAACAATTAAGATTTCAAGTCAACCATAAGAAATGATTAACATGATAATAATCCCATGAGATAATTAACCCTGGAAATTAAATTCTTAAACTTGGTTAGAAGCAAAAAACTGTAAAACTTTCATATCGAAGATAATAAAATGCTGAGTTGATTCAGACTGACCTTCAATTCTGAGAAATTCTCAGAACTATCAACGGAAGAGTAACAATTGATTATCCATTGATTGATGATACTATTCAAGGTAAAAAGTGATGATTGTTTAACAACAAGTTCAAATCATCATTTACAGTTAATGGTCATTCCTAACTAGACATGATGATGTCCATCAGATTCAATTGTTTCCCCATGAAGCAAACTTGTATTTACTTTAACTGTAATATTTATTCAATGTTAATGATTATTGTTACTCTATTTACCCTGAATTTTTATTACCAATGTTATTTTGTGTCAAAGTTCATGCTGATAACCATTATCATGAAATGATTACCATTCAAAAGTGTTGATTGATTGGATAGAAATGGATTTAGTCATGATTGTCAATCAATCAATCACTTATCATTTTCCTTATTCCAATTTCAATTTGATTTTTTAAAATTTTCATTAGTTTTCTTGTAGTTGAATCAAGATAATTTTACTACAGGGTTAATGTTACTATTTGCATAGGTGACCAAGCGGAAACGGAAATGATGCTCCAAAAAAACTACTTACAGATAACGTTGAGTGTGAATGATATTGAATAAGGTTGAGATAATGCTGGATGATTAACTTGGCAAATGTATTCAATTCCGTTATCAACTATCTCAGGTCGGATTCCAAGTTCATTTGAAACTCCACTTCCACTGATACTGGATATTGTACTGATCTAAAATCAGGGTGATGAAAATGAATCAGAATTAAAGTGAAAATGTAAACAAATATAGCTGATTGAAAATCAAAACAATTGAATTCTAGAGATGAAAACTGAATCTATTATTTGAAACTTTTATGTTTCCAATTTCAATTGCATGATTACCATCATGATGGAAATGTAAGTAATAAATGAATTCAATTCAATATGATAAAAATATTAGTATTCCCTCATTATCAGCACAGTGATCATGATAATTTCATTTCAATTTAACTCTTTATATGCAATTATCATCCATGGAAAGTTTTTGATATCACTTTTAGCATTTAAATATAATCAACTATAAAAGTTCAAATTGGAACTTAACAATATTATCGTTTGTTATTGTTCATTAGCATGATAATATCACAAGAAAAGAAATATATTAAAAAAAAAGTTTCAACTTCTAACGAAAGATATTATTATATAAGCGATATAAAATTAGGTGACATTCATTTTGATAGCAACTCAATTGGGAATCAACTGATTATCATGGTTATTATTACCATTAAATAGATAATTGTAATTTTATTTCCTAAGGCTCATCATTACTAACATCAGAATCTTGATTATCTTCATGAATTTTCATCCAAACTCACAATTCATTATATTTAATAAGTGAGTAAACTTTTTTTCCACAATTGATTCTTTCTCATTGTTATTATTTAAATCCAAGTCATTTGAATCTATCACAAAGAGATTCTTAATTATCGTCATGATATTCAACTCATTTTCCATGAAATCATCAGAATCAAGCTGAGAAATTTAATCACAAACTATTTCAAGTTTTCTCCTTCAAAGATAATCACTCAATCTTTTGAATATTCAACAAGTTATTAGTTAATTAACTTGAGATTAGATTTACCTCTTTTCCTTGTCGATACCATTTAAGATTAGGAGGTGGATTACCTCCCAGAGAGACACACTTAATCTTATGGACACTTCCTGATTCCATGGGAAGATTATCCTTATATCCAGTTAAAGTTGGTGGATTGGGTGGATCTGTAAGAGAGTATGAAATAATTTCTTAATTTAATCATGAATAGTAAAAAGTATTACATATTAATTGATGAGGAAAAAAGTTCCAATCAAGTTTCAATTACAATTCATGTGATTTTGCAATACAACCTTTACCATGGGGAAGAGAAATGTGATCATTGAAATCGTATAAAAATATTGAAAAAGAAATTGAAAATTCATCATTCAAGATTAATTGAATGTTAATCAGTAATATTTATAGATTTGCAAGTTAATTGTTGTGTAATTTGTTCAGCTATATACTCTGTATATTAGCATATCAATAGATGACCATCACTGGACATCAACAACTACAGAGAATCAAGAATTCACTTGAGACTTTGAATTAATTTGATCCATTTTCCTCTCTCTGTCTGTTTTCTTGTTCATATTCACTCACATTTCTAGTAAAATCTGTAGTGTTCATGAGATATCTTTTTTCATGATATCATGGTGATGATAAAATTGAGAATTCATTAGGAATTCATATCATGAATTATCATTTGTCAGTAAATAATTGCTAAACTTTCACTTAATTCTGTAAACTGATTTTCTATCTAAACATCATCATCATTACTCTTTGACCAATCGATACACAATGAGAGGTAATCAAACAAAACTAAATCAATGGACATAAACGTGAACATCAAACATGATTATTGAACAACAATTAACGTTCAAACATAATTATTATTCACGTAATCGTGTTAATTGTTGTTATAAAACCTGCAAAAGTAAACTATTAGTGGATTCAGACGAAATCAATTAGAGTTTAAACTTTTCATTGAAATTGATTATCAACAATCAATCAGCTCAATTCTGATCGATGATTGGAGTCTCATGAAAACCATGAGCATCCCCTGAGTCTAATTGATAAAATTTCTCCATCACTGTTGTTTAATGTTCATTTATTTTCAATTTTACATCTAATCAATTTTGAAATTATTTTTGAACTTGATTAACTTAAATTTTGTTCTGTCTTTTCCCCAGAATTTCAAATTGCATGATAAGGTGTCTCTTCTTGATTCAAGGCTCAGATTCATGATAACTTTAAGTATAGAGAATCAAAACAATGTTATCATCTAACATTCATGAGTTTCACAATTTCAAATACCCTGTGGGTATAACAATCGACTTGAAATCAAGACAATAGATTCAAAAGTTAATTATTTTATGGGAAAAAAATCTAGAACGATAAAAGTTCATTATCATTGAATAAGAGGACATTCAAACGAGAGAAAACAAAATTCAAAATTAGAATCAAAGCTAAACGGAGGAAAAAAGTTCTGTTTAAATTTCGATAGTAATTAGATAATCATGATGTGTGACCCAATTTAGGTGGAAAATCAAATTCTGAGGTTCTGAGTGGTTGTAAAATCAGCTTAGAACATGATAACACTGATATACAATTGATTTTAACCCGAAGGCATTTAGTTTCTAGAATATAAAATTCAATTGGAATAAGAATTTCATGATAACTCTAATGACAGTGTTCTCCATTTTTCCACCACATCGGTTACTAAATCAAAGTTATGTTTCAAGATAAAAATCAAAACAAACAAAGAGAAAAATAAAGTTCTAATCACTCAGAGTATCTACTGAGCACGACACATGAAACAATCTACGTGTATTCATGTACTTTCATGGATTCCATAGATTTCAACTCATCTTTTTCTCGATTTGTTTTTTCATTCTCATGATTACGACTCAGAAATCTATCTTCACCAGAATTTGAGAACGAATTATGTTACATGTTGATGAGTAAACATGTAAATTCGTGCTCAGCCAGCGGGCACTTTAACCTTTCTTCTGAGTTGGTGAATTATTCAAGATTCGGTTACCTGAAAGTATTGGGAAAAGAGAGCATCATGATCAAGTTCAATTCACCGAAAAACTTTTCAATCTTTTCATGTAAAACAAAAACATCAACCTGAGAATTGAAAATTCTGGAAATTTGAAGGAAAAAAAAACTTTCGTGAGTATTGAAATTCAAACATATTCCAGACTGATTTATATAAATACAAAATTATTCTGATTAACCATCATGGAAACTCATTAACCATGAATATCAAACTGAATAAAAAAATCAACAACAATAAAAAACAATATGAATAATTTTTATCTCAATAGTAATTTGAAAAAATTTCCTCATGTATTTTAATGCTCGTCTAGTTGTAATTGGATTGATAATGAATCAGAAATGTTGATTATATTTACATCAACCCGAATTCATGTGAAACAATTAGCTAATCAAGGCCAAGAATTGCTATCATATCATGTTTGTAACAATGTAAATATTATTTATTAAAATTATTCACGATCAATAAACTTAATCAGACAAACTCGTTACAATAAGTAACTCAAGTAAACAAGAATCACAATTTTGTTCAATAAAATTCAGTTTCTCATGACATGATTAGTTTAACAGCAATTTCATCAAACGAAAAAAATTGAAGATACTGTTAGAAGATGTAACATGATTAAGATAATGATGATGGTGATTTAATAGAGAAACGAGATTGAGATTAATCTGATAATTGGTTTTCCAATGAAACGGATGTTTTGACAAAGGATAAAGAGGAAGTGGGTGGTTGTAAGAAAGAGTGAGAATGTGTGTATGTTAAAGAGAGAGGAGGGAGAGAGAGAGAGAGAATGAAAGACAAGAAGAATTCATTTTCTATCGTTGTTTGTATTGGATGATGTTAGAAGAGTTTTTGTCAGATTGATAAAAGTGATTCGCCTAAGGTGAGAACATGAATTAGAATATTTCTTTATTTTTCTCTCTGTCTTTTTCCTTTCTTTCCTTTCTTTTCTCTTTTTTCTTCTTTCTCATCTTCTCTTTCCTCACTTCTGTCATCCCATGGTGAAGGGATGACTTTGATGAAGATAAATGAGTTAATATGCTTGTTGATGCTTTCTCATCATCCATGGTACCTGTTTTTTCATTACAGGAAATAATATTTTTCTACCAATTAATCATTTACTTACAATGACGCATCATCATGAAGGTAAGATAAAGATGATGAAGATTAAGATATTGAGAAAAAGTTCTGAAAAAAAAATTCCAACATAAAACCAAAAGATAACAAGATGAAGATGAAGGATGGACAAGGTATCATGATGATGATGAAAATTCTGAGAAAATTTATCAAAAAATTGGAAAGATGAAGAGTGCGAAGGGAAAGGAAAAAAGTTCTTGATGAATATTTGGTTGATGGAACAAAAAAAAGCTCTAGTGTGAAGAAAAAATCATCGAAAAAGAATGAGAATTTTTTTCCAATCATTTTCTCATTGACTGAACTATCTCCATGAATATTATTCTTAGGGTTTGGTTATCATGTCGATGAATTAATGAAAGAATAAGTTGAAAAGGAAGAGACAGACAAAAAGAAGAAAAATCTATTTTCAGGTGAAGAACGAATTTCCGATTTTTATTAATCATCTATCTGTCAGAATTTTCTTATTCTATTATCTTTTTCTGATTGAAATATCAGTAGAGTTAATTGATTCTCTCTCTTTCTCTGAGAACTTCATTCTAATCATCAGGAAAAGAGGTAAAACTAAGTAAATTAATCTTATTTTCACCTTTCAATCTAATGAATTCTGGTTCCTATTTTGACTAATCACTTCTGATGATGAAAGAGAGAGAGAAAAGTAAAATAATCTAACAGGAAACCGGAAACCGGTCAGAGGATGAAGGAGAGATTCTGATTTATCCTGAATGATGGAAGTGGAGTAAAGAGAAAAGTTTGTTTTCTTTTTGATAATTTTTCATCTCTTTACAATGACCTGACCTATTCTCCGATTTTCCCAGAATCATCATGTAAAAAAAGATGAAAATGATTGACACCAAGTGGAAATGGAAACATACATTTACAGGAATCAATTGAAACAGAAAAAATCACATTTTTCTTGATAAACTTTTCCCTTTCAAAACTTGAAATGGTCACTATGGGTTAACTGTCAACTGGTCAGTGAAAGACTTCATAAATATTGACCCTTGATTCAGTTTTACTAAGGGGTAATATTATCATAAGAAAATTCAAGTTGAATGTGAAATGATAAATGATTTTGGGGACACATCAAGTTGGTCAACATTTCCATTGATAAAGTGACATTAACTATTTCAATTAATCTCTGATAACATGTAATCAATGGTACAAAATACAGGAAAACCCATCCCATCAATTCAGTACAATGAATTTCAAAAAACATATCAACCTCCCCATGGATATAATCATGAACATTCATAATAATAATCATCATCAATAAAGATGCTCAAGATTTCATTCATTATGAATCAATCAGAATTAAAGTATCTCAACCAATCATAATCACAATTGATAATGGTTCAAATTCAATATCAGGAAATGATATTTAATTACATCAATCGCATAATCTTTCATGGTCATTTATATATATGATATATAATAAATGTCACATTGCTGAAACTGACCAAGTGAAACTTATCAAATATCAAAATTCATCATGCTGAATATTATTATTAATATTATCCAACCTATTCATTAATTTATCTGGATCATTTTCTTGCCTTGGAAACCTGAATCAAATCATGATGTGAGTCTTCATGATTTTTTGGCGATAATTTGAAATCACCATGATTATAATTACGACTTGACCAAGAATCTAAAGGTGAACCTTTACCATGAAGATCATGAGTGTTGAATTTTAGTTATCAGAGAAAAAAAAAGATGAAAGAAAACAAGAATATTTTTTATTCCAAATTCAGGAAAGTTTCATGAAAAAAACAACACCATGAATATACACCAAACACATGTAGAATACACTTGACAGAAAAAAAGTAAATAATATCCATGAATAACATGGATTCGCATTCAGATGAACCCTTAGCATGGTTTTATTCTTGTTTATCATTATTATCATCATCATGCTCGAATGATATATTATTATCATTCCAAGTGAGTATATATCAATTCATAGAGTTTGTTTCAATCTCCCAACAA